TTCTAAATCTCTGGCTTCTGAGTTTCTGCCATGTCTGCGCGTGGCAGTAGGAGCTCTGCACAGCACGCACAGCTTTGCACCTTCGTAGGTGCCACCGGGCACCAGGTTGCTTCCTGAAGGGGAGACAGCGGATGGTTGCTCAAGATTGCTCATGGCGCTGCAGACTGAAATCTGAAAGGAGCTGCAAAGGAGCTGCATTTCTCGCATCATATCGAACTAGTCACATCAGCAATTCTAACTTCAGTGCAATTAGACACCGGTGTGGCCTTTCCAGGTCAGGCTTCCGGGTCGCAGCGTGGAGCCGTCTCCGGCATCGCACATCGCAACCTTTGTCGGCGCTGGACCGTCTATGTTATGCATAAGGCTTTCAGATTTCAGGTCATGCAAGGACGGAAGTGACTACAAGAAACACTGGCTCCGGTCATGATGGTCACCCCATTTCCAATCTTGTAGTGGGTGAACTTCAGGCGGAAGTCCTTCCGGTGACCCGGACCCGGGCGAACAGAGCATCTACCCCACTGACATGCCCAACGGGCCCGGCATTGCTCGTACAGAGAATGGTTTGTTCATAGCCGTTCACTGTGTTTTGGCGCGCTGATTGCCCGCATGGATCTGTGCTGCGACGGCACACACTCATCGGTCGCAACAGCATGCAGCAGCAGAAATTGCAGCGTTGCCATTGTACAGCTGAAACGACGACGGCGGCGGACGGCGACGGAAAAACTACCGATATTACAACGAACGCCACCACTCCAGCTTGTGATAGAAAAGAAAAGGCGAGTACGGGTGCAGTACCACTGAAACCAATTCGCCCAGGACGACGAGGAGGACGACGACGACCGTGAAGCTCTGCTCTACAATGCACTACAAGTCTATGTCTGCTCTTTTTCTGTGTGCTGCGAAATCGAAGGCAACGGCAAGAAAGGTCTCGAAAAGCAATTTCGAAAGAGCGCTCATCATCGCGAGAAGAACAGGATGATCCAACTACAAGCAGGTCGAGACAGTCCAAAAATCACACAAACATGCTGCAGTAAAAGCAAGCCCCGAACGCTCGACAGTCTACTCAAATCCAAAAGAAGCTCAGTGGAGGTGCACAAGGCCCGCGAGGCGTGTAAAGGCCAGCGAGGCGTGTAGGACTTGCAGGCGCAATCGAGTTGGTAGATTTCACTTGGCAAGCAAAGCTCTAGATTGCAGCACTCCTCGAATGAATGACACCTCACCTGGCCATCATAGTCCACCGTCACATCGTCTCCGATGTCTGTGAAAGGTGCATCAACCAGGACGAGCTCGTTCCTCAGACTGCAATGATTACAATATACACACCTACACACTTTGAACACGCATGAAAATGGCCAGCGTTGGCCATGGCATCTCCAGTCCTTTTGCACACCTGGCTAGAAAACGGGAAACCTTGCTGCGTTAAGTCTGGCCCGGGGTGCATGCAGAAGAAGCGCTGACCAATCTTGGCACCCAGCAGCCGCAGGATCGGGGCTTGCCAACAGCTGCCAGCCGTCTGCCATCAACATCGCACCAACGACTTAAAATGACAAGCTGAAGCTGGGAGCGCCACTGTGCGCCTGAAAGGGAAGCTTGAAGACTCGCTGCTGGGCCGTGAGGGCAGTGAACCATCGCGTCACAGCGGTAGAGTAGTAGGCCTTGGACAGTCGACACACCAAAACTCGAAAGAGGACCTGTGAGGACTTGAAGCGGAGTCAGTATAGAGTA